TATCATGTCTTCCTAGCTGGCCACATCGCCTACAGCCTAGGAATTTTATTTCTGCTTCCACAAGTGATAAACGAACAAATTATACAACTGAATAATTTCTGACTTGTGTGTTTAGAAGCTCTCCGTACGCAGTGTTGATGGACAGACCTACTGTGCCAAGACAGGCAGGAAGTTGACGGGTCAGATTGCCGAGAGTTTTATCATTACTGACTGGACCGAGGTTCTGACTGGCTCGTACAGGTACATGTACACACTAATGGACACGCATTCAAATAGCTACCCTTATATGAATGTTTGTTCTTCTAAGTATATATCTAGTTTATATCTATTCCATGTCCACTTTATCTCTTTTTTGTTCTATATTTAATAATCTAATGAAGTCTTTCCATTGTTGTGTAGATACCACTGTTGTGAGGACATACTGGCATTTTGGGCTGTCTGAGGGTTAAGACTTGGTTTTAGAGTTAAGGGTAGAATTAGGTTTAGGTTAGGGTTAGCAGGTTGGGCATTTGGTTGTGATGGTTGAGGTTAGGGTAACAGATTAACGTGTGTGTGTGTCTGTCATCTCTGCAGTTTCTCCTGGCTGTCCTGGCAGGTCCATCGGAGTCTTGCCATTCTTGTAAAAGGCAGTGCACTCACACCTTTCCATCAGGAATTCCATAGACTTTACTCCAGCTCCAGTCCTGTCCCTGGCTTTGTTACTTCTATCACTGTGCCTCCCACTCTACCTCTTTATACATCACACACAGCCCAAAATGATAACACTGGTATCAACAAGTCAAAATCAAGCCAGACCAATACAACTTGCCACAGGGCTTGGACTGAAGATGCTCAGACAAAAGCAAAAATGATGGTTATATTGAGTCCCCAGAGCTCAGAACAGGAGTGCAGCAAATGTGATAACCAGCACAGAGCAGATATAGGTGCACAAAAACATACTAAACCTCCACAACTGTACCTGAAACCTTTGGTTCAGCCAGGAACACTGCAGAGTGTGTCTGTGGAAAAGCATACTGCTGGCAGTGTCTCCACCCAGCATGATGTGCAAACATATGTGGGGCCCCTGGAGAAGAGTAAAACCCAGATCCAGAGTGCTTCGAACCCTCTTGGTCAGAATCACAGCTCATACATTCAGTCTCAGCTTGTTGGCCTTACCATCAGCACCGCAGCTGAGAAGAATGCAAGGGGTCAAGTGTCCAGCCCTCTACACACTGACCACCCCTCACATGGACTGCACAGCGCTCTACGTTATCAACCACCTTTGAAGAAGGATTCAGATCTTGCTCAAGCAGCTATTAAAAGAGTTTACTTTGGGCAAAAGATTGGAAACGGACTAACAAAGACTTCATGGACTGCTGCAGGCCTAAACACACAAAGAGAGCAATGGAACTACTCCCTAAATTTAAAACCAAAGGTGGAACTTCAGTCTAATAATCCCAAACTACTGTCTAATTGTACATACCAGACAGGCCTGCAGGTCCCCTGTGGTCATTTTAGAGGACAAACATCTGGGCTGGAGACCAAAGTGTACTCTCTAGGATCCAGGAGACAGGACCGATGCCTGAGGCACCACCAACCCCTCCACCAGTCACACCCAACCATAGGTACTCCCAGATTAAAGTCAGCATCAGCATCAACAGGAGCTCTTTTTAATCCTCAGCTCTACATGGACTCCTCCAAGATGTTCTTACCAGGTACAAGATGCAGGGTGCATCCACAGGCCTACACCTCCCAGCAGGTGAAGCCCCCTCCAAGGCTAAACTGGATGTCACACTGTCACATGGCAAGACCCAGACCAATGGCGCGATCCAGCTCCTTTGCCAGCACTTATGAAATGGTACAGAAGAGCTGGGCGCCATGTCATAGTAACATGACATCATAGGGAAGGAGCAAGAGCACGACAGGATCGAATCTAAACATAAGGAGACCCGACAGAAATATACAGACTGCGAGTAATGTAACCTTTGATTGTACAAATGTATTTGCCCTCATACGCAGGAGGTCCCACCCTAAGTATGTTCCCATGAAATATACAATATATTCTACTGTGTATAGCTCATTAAATTATATACTAGGAGACAAATGTACTGTTACATGTGCAAAATTATGAATTAAGATAGATGGGAGCTATTGCTAGAGCACTGAGCCTTGTGTGTTTTGTGTATAGCATTTGGGGGGTAAATGACAGGTACAGCATATTGTTTTGTTTAAAAAAATAGTCAAAGCTTTTGGTTGGACATGTTTCTAAACCTGAAAGAGCTTCTAAAAAAGACAATATTTTAGCAGAATGTTTGAGGCGATTTAGTCGTGTTTTCAGTTATGAGCTAATTGAGCTCAGGTTGAGTGGAGTCATGCTGGGAGTTATGTGTTGTCACCATTCAGTAATGAGACAAATTATACACAATGCTCCACTGTCCTGATGATGGAGGTGGAGTGAGTCAGTTTGTACCTGTATAGCTGTGTAACAGGTGTGTTGGGACTTTTATTATCCATGTAATACACAGGATACAGTATCTGCTGTGAAAATGGCTGGTTTGTTATCAGCCAATAAGTTACTATGAAACGGTTTACAAGAATTCAGCTGCAAAAACCACAAAAACTATAAGAATAAATAATTTGAATGTTTTATGAAATTTTAGGCAGAACATTAAAACATGAATTGTATTTCACACAGTATGAATCGTGTGTCTGTTGGACAACGTTCCCTGGGTACTTGCATTATACTGAACGGAGAGATGAACATTAAAATGTCTAATACTCATAAAGAGTAAATTAAATGAATATTTTTAAATATTGTGCATGTGCTGGTATGATTAAAAGTTAGTATTTGACCTCCAGTAGTGAGCTCCACACAGTGAGGGCTTGTATCAGAGTGGGCCAGCCAACTCAATGTGCACCTCCGTGTTTAGGACTTCAATCTGGCTTCAGTACATTCAGTCTGTTTCTTTTGTGCTTTGATCGGACCACTACTGGGACTGAGCATCAGGACTTTGTGTCCACCTGTGCCTGCTGCTGATGTCTGTCAGTCTCTAACACTCCAGTCAGCAGGATCTTGTTCCACCAGCGCTCTCTGAAACTCTGCACACACACACTGGCCAGACTTTCCCCGTCCTGGTAGTCCTCCCTCATCTCTGGGATCAGGTCCCCTGACATCACCTGCAAGATCAAAGAGAACCTGAATTGTACAAAAACAATCCACTGACTTTAACTCAGCCACTCACCTAGTCTAACACCTAAACTGTTTTGAAATTCAGGCTCTGACAGCATGTGTTCAGAAAACCAGGAGTGTGGCCTCACCTCAGTGAGAGCCTGCAGTGTTGTTTCTTTGGGATTTAGCTGCTGTAACACCTCTTCTGTCATCTGTAGGACGTTTTCATTACGCTGCAGCACAAAGGAGGACTGCTGCTGCCGAAGGACTGTCAGCAGGAGTCTGAGAGAGTCAGAAGAAATGAGATATAAGAATCTGTATTTCCCATTTCCATTTAAGCTCTTCATAAAGACAAAGAAAATCTCTTAAATGTTTATCTTGTGTGCCTGTTTAGATACATTTGTGGGGACAGGAAGTCATTCGCGAGGACCAGAGGCTGGGCCCCACAGCTAATTCGTCAAATTTTACAAAAATGATGGGGCGTAAGGTTAGAGCAAGTGTCGGCTTTGGTTAAAGTTACGCAACCAGCAGTTCGGCTTAAGGTTAGGGCAAGATTCCTGGAAATGAATACAAGTCTGTACAGACCCTGTAAGTGACGACCGCAAGGATGTGTGTATGTGTGCGCTCATGTGTGAGCTCAGTGTTTACAGTAACAAGCTGTACCTCGTCCTGATGAAACAGGTGCAAGCTTTTAGCCAGATTCTGTCTTCATCGAGCTCCGCTGCCTCCTCCGGCTGCTCCTCGGTCTCTTTCTGCTCCGCTGCTGATTCGGACCTTTTGTAAGAACAGGGTCCTAATAAAGGTAAATACAGCAAAGCACATCAGACCACGAGGGCAAATTGTGATCAGCAACTCACCTGGATAATTGGTAAGTGAGACAGAAATGAAATGAAGCCTACCTGTGGTTCTGCCATCCTTCAGCAGCTGTAGACACATCTGGCCCAGGCTAAACCAGTGCCAGGGGCTGAAGGGCAGCAGGCTGCACAGCTGCTGCAGAGATGACATCTTTGATCTTACGGCTCCAAAATGATGGTAGATGCTGACCTTTAGTAAATGTTCATACATCAGTTACATAATCAGTCATTACATTTCCACAGAATGACGATCAATGAGCAAAAGGAGGGAAATGTGTAACAGTGTGTGTGTGCGTGTTCTGGCTGTGCTGACCTTAAGCAGCAGGAGGCTGGTCAGGTGACAGGTGTTGGAGGCTTGTTTGCTCTGGAGAGATGATGGATCAGTTACTACTGAGGTTTGGTCTTTTTCTAAGCCTAAGGCTTTATACTGACTTCTTCATGTCACACAGAACATTTAATCAGCTCTTGATCTGTTATGTTTTTAGTTCACGTGTTGAAAACTTTCCAAAGATGCTGCGTTTGTGTGCTGGTGGTAAACTAACATCCACAATTTAAGAATCTTTTTCATGACTGTGTTATACTTTAAGAAGTGGTCACAAGTTTTAAACATATTTCTTACATTTAGAGCATATTGCTATACTTTGTGTACATGCAGGGTGGCTGATTCTACGCCAACAATTTCTTAAATTAAAAATTAGCACCCATCAGTGGCACCAGAGTGGAGTATGTCAAAACTGTGTTAGGATTACTACTGGTCTTCTATACTAATACTAGTGTAGGACAGTAAGAGCAAACAACAACATTTAAACAAAACAGCAATCAGTGTAATTAATTTAGCTTTTTTGTTTTTTCCCCACAAGGACAGCAGCTTGTTCCAGTTCCACTTACTGTTCTGCATTGAAAACCTTGCAGGAAAAGATCACAGAAGAATTACCAGTAAGTCAACCAAGTCCAGCGCCTTGTCTCTCTGTCCCAGTTTGGTGCAGCATCTGGCCATCCCCTCCAGCACATCTCTTCTGATGGTCAAGTTCTTGTCAGCGATCCACTCCAGGCAGCTGGTGTACGCTTCCAGGGCTTTCTATATCCACCACACCGTGAGAGCAGAAACACATCAAGGCTTGTTAACATCACACTCCTCTAAGTGGCGAGAACAAAGGCTGGCATGTGGCAGCAGAGGCCAGTCAACCCCAGGGTTGTATTTGGCTGAGAGCAGAGCAGGTTACACCTTTATTTAACATCTCCATAATTTAATCTAGTTTGAGCTCATGGAGAGTTTCAGTGTCATATGGACCAGATGTGTTTTCAGAGAGCTTTCTATGGTGTCAGGAAATGTCTTTTATGAGACACTGTGACTGTAAGTACCAAATACATGGCGGGTAATGACAACTCAAATAAAAATGATTCTTCATGAGGTTTGTGGAACCAAGACTGAGCATCAGTCATGTGCGTTTTGCTATTAGAGAATCATAATAGTATTTATTTGAAGCATTTGGAGTTGGAGAAGACTGACTCAAGTACATGACTGTTTAATTACCTGATAGTCCCCCTGTCTCACGGCCAGGTCACCTCTAAACTTATACACCTTCTGCTTCTCCAAAGAATCATCTGTATCAAGAGCAGCGCTGTCACAAAACCACTGCAGAGAAACCAGAGGAGACAAGATGGCAACGATTTTACAATCTGTACAAACTGTCAGCTCGTCATTGACTGATACAGACTTTTACCCAAACATATAACAAGACCTTTCATCCAGAAACTAACATATTACATATTCAGCAAATTAAAAGAACTCTCACCTCTGGTTCACACAGCTTGGCGTCGTAAGAAGACAGACACACACACACTCGGTCTGTGGCCTCCGAAAACACAGAGTCGTCAAAGGTGCTTCCTAATATCTCCATCCGCAGCCCAAAAACACGGCTAATTCTCAAACTTTAACAGGAAAGCGTGTCCTAAAAGCCAGCTAACAACAGCACAAATGGTGCACCCTCATGATGAGTCCCAAACTGTACACGGCACAAAGACAACAATATCCAGTGACTATGGTTCCGGGTAGAAAGGTTCCGACCGATGAGGACAATGACCGAGTGACACGCAACAACACGAAGAGAATAAATTGTTCAAATACATCTGAACTTTTATTTCATCCGTCCTCTTATACATATTAATATAATGAAAGGCAGGTTTGCATGTATTCCCACTAAAAAGGTAAACCCATACTGTTCATTAAACACTAGGATAATTTCTAAGGAATCAGAGGAAACACCAGTAAATAACATTCAAACAAAAAAGGATGCAAATACAAGTATTTCATATCAGCAAACGTTTATAGAAAATATATGTAGCCACATAAAATGTTTTAAAAGGAAATGGAACTGACACTTTTTATGTATTTTTAGTTTGATTTTTTTCATAGCAGTCAACAAAAATGTAAAGCTTATTCACTTGCCAGCCATCTGAAAAAAAGAGTTCATATTTCAGTATCTGTGACTTTATTATAAGCAAAACAAACAAAAAAAAAAGCAAGCAAAGTCTCACAGCAAATGGTTTTAGTGTTGTGATTATCATATCCAACATATCATGAATTACAAATTAAGAATGTACTGATACAACTCCTAGCACATTACCAAAATATTATATAGGAAGGCACACAAGGCCTAAAGTATAGAGTAGAAAAAATACATTTAAAATTAAGATGTTGCAGCTGGTTAAAGCCAGGAACTCCGTTTTGCTGTAAGCCAAAATAAAACATGAATTTCTGTTACACTGCACAGATGAAATTTAACTTCTCATTGTCAGGCTTGATGGACCACAGACCCCCGTTTACTGCCATGGCAGCACTCGTGTCACATTCGTCTATTTTTTTCCCTGAATCCCAGTGAGTGTATTCTAAGCGATGATCATCGACCCAGAACCAGAACACCAGAGTGCAGCTGTAGTGAAGGCCCAGCCACACGAAGGGAGTGTTGGCCTGCTTGGCCTCCAGCTCGACCCAGCCCTGGCTATCTTCATTAAGGATAGAAACCAGGTCCATGTTGCGGTCCCTGCAGTAGTACAGGGCATCTACCCACGTTTTGTTCTCTTTGATCAGCTTCCATCGTAAATCTGATAAATCCAGAGAAACATTTTCAGGTGAAACAAAACTGAATGCTGGTTGCATGTGGACAAGCAATTCTGATTTGGGTTAGAGTAAACTGTTATTTTCTGTCAGAGGGGCAATCATCACTTCAGAATAAAAACTATTTTGCTGGCATGACATAAACCATTATATTTAATGTTCTAAAATTCATTATTTTAGATTTTATACTACAAAACAAAGAAGAGGATAAGAGTTAATGAAATGGGAGTGAAGAGAAATTGTCATGAATCAACCCTTCCCCTGTGTGATCTTCTGTAGCCATCACTTGATAGGAAATGTGTGATGACTGCAAATAACATATTTCAACTGATATTTCTTAGGAAAGGCAAATGTCATCTCCCCAATAACAAACAGAATGCTACAGCTGGCTATACTGTTTCATTTTTTTTGTTTTGTCCCCTTTAAAAGACACATTGTTTTTCACTTGTTTCACATGGCTTTGTAAATGTTTGTGTCGAATAATACAAAGACTTGCATTTGCCTGGACAAGTAGTCTACACATAGTGTGTTGTATGCATCGTTTTTAGACTTGTGTTTGGAAATCTGAAGTATTGTATTGCAATGCAACTGGTTGTTGCTTACAGTGATCATATCTTTATGTGCACTTTGCCTGTAGATGAGACTTTTCAGTGATATAGCTGTGTATCTGTCACTATCAAAGCGGCCCCTACAACAATATTTATCATTGTAACCTGCAGTACTGGCATTTCCCACCAAGCAAGAGCAACCCATGTTGTGAATGAGAACGTCTGTTGTACCTTTTTTTGTGCCATAGATCTGCACCTCACACAAAACAACAAAGTCTGAGTTGTGTTGGTACACAGTAACATAGCGGCCCAATATTGGTTTGCCATCACATATAAAGGTTTTGTTTGTTCCAGGATTGAAGCCATGGAGGGTTGTACATCTGGAAGAAAGCGTTCAGTGCAGAGAGGGAGAACCAAGAGTGATGTCTGATTGAATCTTAACAAACAGCATCATCAACAGCCAGTTTCTTTTCACACCAAAACAATCTTGCTATTGACAGTTGGGACCGTGAAAAAACAAGGCTGAATTAAGGTAAATGGTAACATTTTAAGACAGCATGGTCCTGCTAATTTATTGAATTTAAATTAGACAGTGACCCTGAACGCTCAATGCACTGCAACGTTCCACATAAAAGGTGATAGACAAGAGAGGAAAAAATGAGTCAACAAAGATTTAAAACAACCTTTTTCTTTATTAAAAGCCCTAGAAACTAGTTTGTCATAATGTAGACTGTATTTGATATTTTATTTAATATAATTAATACAGTTGGTTAATCTTTAGGCATTGTTTAGTGTGTCAGTATTTGGTTGTGTTCTCTTTTGCCGCATTTCATTCTTTTGATAAAATGCTGTGCACGTGTGATCAAACTGGTGAATATGGTTCTGTCCTTTGTTTTGTTCTGTCTGCTTCCATGTGTTTTCTTAAATTGCAATGCGCTGAGCTCTCAGGGCCGCTGTACTTGAGCTACTGTACTTCACATGAGAGTTTACACTTTAACTGCTCTTGACTAAAGGACCAACACTAAGAACATGGAATAAAATTATATTTTTTGTTAGGTTTCAGCACATCCACTATGTTTAGGGATTAAATCTGACAGGTATCATTAACTTTCACTCTATAAAATAAAGCCATCTGATGGAGCTGTGGCTCAGAAATGTCACTTGACAAGACCAAACTCTGCTCTATTGTATATGCAATTTATAATCCCTGAAATAAATCATGACTGTGCTATGTGTGGCTCCAGATTATCTAGAGAATATTGGATATGCTGAAGCCTGACAGATGCAACATTATGAAACAGAACTTACTCAAAGTAATATGAAGGTATTACCGTTTGTTGGCGGTGCCAGTCTTCTCAGATGAGTTCCCAATGTAGATCTCAGCACTGCTCATCTTAATATTTTTTTGGTCTGTGTTGTATAAACTGATACAGGAAATTTCATATAGACCCAGCAGATCAATTCTCCACCAGTCATTGGCTTTGGACTCAGAACATGTGTGAGAACAACTTTTAGTATTACCGTCAATAGCTCTGTCAGAGCTGTAGTTGCGTGTGTGATCTGAGTAGTCTGAAGTCTGAAATGTCTCCTTCCCTGTCAGTGTCAGGATGCTTGCATTGCACTTGTCTGTACATGATAACAGAAAAAAATATCAGTTCAGAAAACTGGCCCTGACATATTTAGCATAAAATGATATTATACTTTATACATGACTTGAGAGAAATTAAACTTTGTGTAAACATGCATTTAGTATCAGAGTCTGCACTTGTGAAATGTGAAACAGCAGAGTGATATTAAATGATGTGATAATAAAAATCCTGTTCCCATTTGAATTTTTGATGTTAGTCATGTCAAAGCTACTGGCAGTTATGATATTACTGCATGGTAATACAGCAGTAGGCACAGAATCCTCATCCTTCAATACACAGTCAATACTTGTCAGAATCCTCTTTATAAATAATTAAATTGATTGTGCTCAGACAACAACACAATGAACTATTTTATTATTTTATCCACAGGTTAAACTTTTGCGAATTAGCCTTACATCTCATTCTGTGTATCAGTCATTTCAAACCAGAGCCATTTCTGAACATCTTGTGGTGAGATCTTAACCCCCACCGAACCCAAACCCCCTGGGACATGACTACACATACTTAGCTATCAATTAAAACTTTCATTTGATAATAAAACACAATATGACAATAAAAACATAACTATTTTCAGGAAGGAACCTGTCACAATGGAGTGCGTAAGCATGTTGTTTAAATAGCAGCAACAGCAGCAGCAAGGTGGTTCTACCTACCTGGTGATTCTATAATAGCTCCAGGATACTTCTCAATAACACCTATAACACACACAGAACCAAACTTATCAGGACAAGAACCAACCAGAAAAGGCTAGCCTGATAACATTAGGCCTATCCAAAGCAAGAACAGGGCTTCGGACCAACATTTCATACTTGTGGCACTGGACAGAAAGTCTTCACCAGGATGACTGAAAGACAGCCTATGTCACTACACATGAGCTGTAACCCATTTTTTAATATGTAATGTTTTTAAGTCTTCATCATGTGAGCCATCCGAATTAAAGGCTTTATAATCTATTTCAAGAAGAGTGCCTTGGATTTCTCTCGTCTTTTCTCATCTTTTTGGTGTGGGCAGTGGTTAGCATTGTCGCCTCACAGCAAGAAGGCTCTGGGTTCAAGTCCCGGCCAACCCGGGGCCCTTCTGTGCAGAGTTTACATGCATCTTAGGTTGATTGGTGACTCTACATTGCCTGAGTGTGATTGCGTGTGTGGTTGTTTGTCTAGGTGTACACTGCCTCTCACCCAGTGTAAGCTGGGATGGCTCGGAGTCACTGTGGACCAACACATTTGACAGACGTCTGTCTGTTCCATGAGACAGGTGAGTGACAAATATCAACATGGTGGGGAGAGTTCGCTTGCTGGCTGTCCCAGCCACGTCTACCTAGCATTTCTACTGGGGCAGCTACTCTTTTTTTAACATTTGTTTATTTTGGTTGCAAAATGTGAGTGATCACTCATAATCTGGACCAGAGAGTCAACTGTTTCCCTTCAAAAAAAAGTGTGAGGCCCCTTGTGGTTCGGGAGCCCCTATGCCATTGTTTGTTTCCCATAGATAAAAACGACTGTTTGAAACATCACTAACATGCATGTTCATAAAGTGAGGTACTTACCAATCGTAAAGATGACCAACACACTCCACAACATCCTTCCTGTGGAGGAGAAAATACAGCAACATGAGCAGACTATAGGGACAAGTTAAATGTTTGACACAAAGACCAATTCATTTAGAGGACAAATTAAGCTTTCCATAAATGTATCCTCTTATACCTAAGAGGAAGAAAAGACTGTGAAGAAAAATGGACAATTTCAGCTGCAACCTCACTCACCTTGTCAGCCTTTTTCTCTCTCCACACTGATTTCAATATGATACCTTCTCCCAGCTACAGCTGTATTTGTACTTACACCTTCCCTTCCCTAAGGTGCCTACACAAATACACTAGTCCCAGATAACATAGTCTTTCCTGGCGGCCTCCCAGATTCCAGGTAATATTTCTATAGTTAAAGCAAATCCTCACTAATATTTGCATCTCTCAATATGTACATGCTCTTCACATGTACATATGTGCATTATCTTGACAGCAGCTTCAGCAGAGGAGGTCGTGTTTCACAAGTTGCCTTATTTTAATATACAAATATATTTCCCTTGTTCCTGAGTGAAGTACTGTTATTTGTAGGGGAACTGAAAAAGATTTTGAATATTGGTTTGATGTCACATGTAAAACAAGTACGCTTTTGACAGGCTTTAAAAAATGACATACTGTATATGTCAACAGCTGACACTGTCATTGCTGGTTTAGTCAAAACTATTAACTATTAACAGTAAGAAAAAAATTAGGAACTGTTCCACAAAGTCTCTCATCAAAGCAATTATTAGTCAAATAACTAAGAAGGAGCTCAGAGGTAATAAATGGTGACTGGTGTGGTTTTAACAGGACACAATGCGGTACTTTCTGCTCTGCATCTGCATTTAGTCCAGACTGGTTCATATATCATGTTTATTCAAATCAAAACATGCAAACTGCTGCTCACAAGTGCACATCTTTTCAACAAAATTTATTGGGTTTGTCCTCAAACAAGTATAAAATATAATCTTTTCTAAATCAAGCTAAAATAGCTAAAATCAAGCCAGAGCCTCAATAACAGCTGGGATTTAAAATTAACATTGCACATGTTGTCTGCCTCACAACTGATGACTCCAGGGCCCACAATGGTTCTTTTAAGCTTCCTAAAGCAAGCCTGTAGAGGTGATCACACGTACAGTACGCGCTGTGTTTAGTCAAGGTTTATGACAGATACTTTCAGGTTTGAACACATTTCAGATGCACAAGCCGAGGCCAGCAATATCGTAGTGAAGATTCAGATGTTAGTTCCCTAGACACAGAACAGCACTTTGTTGAGAAGTGTGATATATGTTCATGACCAAACAGAAAAATTATTTTGCCTGCAGAAAGTCCAACCTCATGAAGTCAGTTTAACTCCCAGAATCAGGTGTACTAAGTAAGGCGTACCAGGTCACGGTGGATTTTTACAGAACTGAAATCACAGCGTATTTTAAAAAGCCTGGGTCTAAGGGACTAAATGTCACTGAAAGTCAGTTGTAGCATCGTTTTAATTTGGCACAATAAGTATCACTTGTCTTTAAATGAACACTTACCTATTTATTAAGGTAGTGTAAACAGTTAGATCATTGTATTCCTCCTACAGTATCTGGGTCTACGGAATCAACCGTAACTAAATACATGTAAAACAGGTGTGGAAATATAAGCTGGCACTGAAGCAGGAACAAAGACAAAACTGCTGAATTAAAAGCAAAGCACAGCCATTAGAAACAACAATTTAGGGTTAAAACTGTCAGCAGATAAAATTCAAAACAGAAACAACAAGGTGAAAATATCAGTGTAAATAAGAGAAAAATATACAAACAGTATATTACAATTCTGACAAGGTATGGTTGTTTGTTTGTTTGTTTGTTTTACCCATAGCTGGCTGCTGTACAGTGAAAACATCTGTATCTCTGATTGTTGCAAGAGACATTCAACCGACTACCTGTCTAAATACAGAAAATGAGCGAGGACTACAGCAGAAGTACAGCGAAAGATACAGATGAGACATATAAGCATTACAGACAGCAAGTAAACTACTCCGGCCACGATGTTAGCTCTTAGCTCTACCGCACAAGATTAAGTGAGACACACGATGAATGTTGGACATAAAATCACAACTCGGAGAAAAGACACGCCAACTCAATTGACCTAATATTTGAAATACGTGATTTACTGAATACAGATTAGTACCAATAATCATCATTCACCTGATGTGGAGGTAGAGGTAATATTACCAGCTCTGTCACATAATGGACAGAAAATTACTAAAGAGTACATTAAAAAAAAAAAACAAGGGTGTCCTGACGTTGTCTAAAGTATGGGTTAAAACACTGGATCCTACATTTTCCATAATGCAACAGATGTGACTTTTATTAGAATCTCCCTCCAGAGTCACAGAAAACATTATACTGAGTAGTCCTCCTCATGACAAGTAAGCTGGACTTCCAGTGTCAATCTGATGGAGCGCCCCTTTAAGCTGTGTTGCTTTTACATCATTTTTACCAATATTTTTACCAGAAGTGTGGAGCCTCAAATTTTGACACACAAGCAAACATTTCTTTGCAAATTCCTTCAACTAAGTGCATGTCTTTTCTATCGAGTTCTGATTCTATATATTTTTTGCAACCAAAGTTACAAAAAGCCACTGGGCTGAACTCTAAAACAGATTCTATTTCAAAAACACTACTCTACTGTACATACTGTATGAGTCCGTATTGTTAACAAGCCAACCACTGATGTCTGGACATAGTTGTAATGACACCACTTCATAGATAGAAACATATAAAACCATTTCAAATGGATGGACTATAGTAAAGAAAGAGCACACTGTAAAAGACTGGGCTGGATACTTAGGGCAGGATGAAGCCTAACCTGTGTGGACTGATACAAGCTAGTTGTAGAAGTTAGCACGACGGGATTCAAGGATTCAAATGGTTACAAATGGGCACAAAATGGCTGCCAAATAATGATTACAACTGTGGTGGTAACACTTTTTCAAGCAAAGGATCCTTAAAATGTTGCTCAAATGGAGCTAGCTAATTGAACGAAGCCTGTCCAAAACTAATGGTGAGAGGACCCAAATAAATGTTTCTAGAACCAATGATTCACAAAAGTATGAAAACTGTTTTGAAAAGAAAACAAATCCATGTTGCAGCCAACTTGGCAATAAAAAGTAACTGGTCTGTGCAAGCAATTCAGCCCACATTAGGCTTCTACTGTGCCGAGTATACCAACCCAAAATATTGTATGTACACAATGAGCAGCTGTTCATCTTGGTTATTGCATGCAGTATTAGACAAAACATATACCCTAACCATTGTGAATTTGTTATTTGTCACAGCCAGGCACTTGACACATTAGGACTAAATGGTTTCAGCTACCTTCGCTAGCTTACGGCCAAACATGCCAACATGTATGTGACAAGTGCTTGGTGAACAAATACAATAAAATTCAGAACACCGAGGAGTCTGTTTAAGGACTCAAAACAGAAGTTTCCATTGTCCTCTTCAGAGTATCTAGGCATCTTTTAGTGTCAGCAGAAAGCAGATACCAGCCATGCATGACACCTTAGCTTGAACAGGCCTCTCTTAAGAATCACGCAACGATTTTTGATTTCCAAATCATTCACACATTCTCTCATCATCTTCTGTCGAGAGATGGTGAAATTCTTTTCAAACAAGTATAAGGGCCATGTAGGCACATAGGTTGATTTGCAAAGCTTCAGCAGAGTCTCTCCCCTACCAGTGAAGAAGTGACAGTTCTCAGTCTATTGTCCTGTCATGTTAATGCAGTAAAGCGACAAGAAAACACTTAGAAAGAGGAGTGTTATTTGGTAGATTTCCCAGCACAGAGTTCCCTCTGTGCTGCTTCTTCAGACATCACATGGAACTCTGTGCTGCTTCTTCAGACATCACATCAGTTCCTTCCACAAGAGAAAGTGATTGTTTGAGAATAACTTTTTAAATTTTCTGAACAGATTCAGTCTTTTGAAGATGTCCCTATAGCCCCGTCTGTCTGTCTGCATGTATTGGAGACAAGAGAACATGAGACAGAGAACCACTGATAACATTTTATAGAAACATGTGTTGGGAAGTGCACGTTCTAAGTTCTAGACAATCGTTTTAGAAAAGTGAGCTGGAGGGGTAAGGAGACAGACAGCGGCAGCAGAGGAGCGATCGGAGACAATTCCCATTATTTAAAGCAACAATACAAAACATAATGACAAAAAAATAAGACATCTTTTCAAAAGGAGAAATGATTAAAAACAAGGCTCAAACTGTGCCATTTAGTCAAAGAAAGCTGTGAGTGATTGTTCTGCTAGTCGTTTTGAGCCATATAAACATCCAAATACGAAACAACACGTAGTATTAGAAAAGTGGATAAACTGGTAATATTCCACCACTTGAACACACACTAAGGATAAAAAGGCAAAATACTGGTTCAGTTAGTCATACAAAACAGATTTGGTCTCTCAGAGCCATTTCATGGTATAATAAGAGATTAAGGTGCCAAATCAGATTTTAGTCCACTATGAACACGAGTGGACCAAAGTGCATTTTTAAAATTTGGGTGCTTCACGTTTTTCTCATGAGTGCAGACTGGAGTCAAATTATAATTTGAAATACTGTTAGACAGTGTTTCTTAAAGTACAGGTCAGTCCTGTCAACCTGTGGACTGATTAGCTATAAATGTGCACTAGAGTTGCAGCTGCTGCTTACATCTATGTGGTTACATATCCACATTGTAAAAATTCAGTCCATCCATTCTATCCATCAGAAGGCCACCATGAGTAAACTCTAAGTGCAACAATGCGGCACAATTGTTTCTGCTTCTCGTCATATTTCAGTGGAACCAGGTGTCACAGTGGCCATTATTTAGTTCACCAATGGTGTCTTTGCCTCAGGCTGCAGCTCACTGCTCAGGAGACAACACATTCAACTTTGGCACAACAGCCTCATAACATCTAAATCTACATAGCCCCCTTTAAAAAAAAATCACAGGATGAATTCTATCAAAATGTGAAAAAGTTATTTAAAAACATTAATAGCAGTGCATATTAAACACATACTGTGGCATTTTTCCATCAGATCTGCAGGTGTTTAGTTAAAATCTATAATACTAATATTAATGAGCAAAGAGCTGCTATATAGGGAAGACTTGAGTAGACATCTTGTGTTATTTAAAAGCATCATGGCATTGGCATTCATTCAGCATTAAGGTACTTTTTCACCTATCATGTTAGGTCTTTAAAGAGATAAAATGGCTGACCTGTAATGTCATTATTAATCCACGTCATCTCAAACAACCTGGTCTATGCAGTGATCTTCACAGATGCTAGAAAAACAAGACAGTGTGACATGTAAAAGTAACCAGCTCCACTAACAGATGTCGGCCAGCTTCACTGGGGACATTGCTCAGCAGTGAGATCTAGCTGTGGTAGGTTTTTAAGCACCGCTGTAAACACAACAGGTAAGTCTTTTTTTCCTGTGTGTACAGTTAGTTTGGAACCATGGATGAAACATTCCTAACACTGGAGACTGACGCCTGTACTCACAACGGCATAACGAACACTGCCTCTCCAGGAGACACAGCATCAGTGGCACACTTACTAGCTTCATTTAAGCAAGCAAGGACTGCAACTTTAATAAGAAGCAAGGTGGCCATTAAAACTGTCAGTTCCTCCTAAAGTCTCCCATTTACACCAGTCAGTATTCATTAAGGTGTATGCATGGGTCAGGATACACCATGTTTTTGTAACTATTTCATCTTACCTCAACAAGTTTTCATTGTCAGCTCAGCTTGAAGATTGCACTTCATGGAACCCTTTTAGAAAAGATAATGTGTAACTGCTGTTCATAGCTTCATCAAAGTTTGGCATACCACTGCAGATTTGCCAAAAACGTCGTCTTTTTTTACCATGATTATTGTCTAACCTGTTACACATTACTTACAGTTCATAAGAAAAGCAGTGACAGAGTGAGCTAAAGCTAATGGTCCTTCGATTAATCTCATGTGGATGTGAGTCAAACAGTTTGAAGAAACTGTTTATGTTGCAAACGTGTACACATGCAAGTCAGTGGCAAAAAAAGACTTGGTTTAGCCTTCGTCCAGCACTGATCATCCCAGGAGTTTTTTAAACTGATGTATCTGTAACATTCTGTGATGTGTTCCCATGCGTTCCACAATCATTAGTCTTCAGAGACTGACAAGGACTTCCTGACGCTACGTGATGGTTCCCAAACCTCACTGTCATCTGTATCATCGCCGTCATCCTCCTCATCGTCTTCATCGTCATCTTCATCTCCCATCCCTGTGCAGGTCTGCTCCTCAGTGGCCGTCGACGTCTTGCCCTGCGTCTTTTCCCCCTCCTGCTCTCCACCGTCTTCGTCCTTCCTTGCTGCAGCCAACTCCTGGAAAGGATCTGAGCCCACGTCCAAGCGTCGCTGGACCTCAGCGAACCACTCCCTCACCTTTTCAGAGAGAGAGAATCACATCACTGTATGATGGCTGCAGGTCTGCAGCACTTACTAAGGACAATAATGTCATCTACTTTGTATTATGTTGGTAATTTTAGCAATTTTAGCAATTTTAATGATAATAAGGTCTTAGACTAAATACATGTATATAACAGATCTTTTGGGCAGCTTTACCTTTATTAGCAATAACAATTTTATTTATATATCACCTTTTTAAAAAACAAATGGATAGAAGAGTATAGTGGCAGAAAGGAAATGGGAGGCACTATTGTGTAACAATGGAATTCTGGAGATAGTATGATTTTTCTGTTTTTGGGCAAAAAACCTCAAAATTATAAATTAAAGGTATCCTGTGGATTTTTTATTTTTTTTTTACCTCTAGTAGAGCTATGGAGCTGATTTTTATGAATGGTTCCTTGCTGTGTTTGTTTCACATACACAGGTGAGGTGATACACCTTCCTGCCACTGGTTTCACTCTACAGGTGGCCAAGAAAATCACTGGTGCACCAAAAAGATGGGAAAGAGGATGACTGTTAGCAAACAGACAAGCACGGAAACAGCAGGTTTCAACCCTGTTTTTATGAGGAAGGAAATACATTGATTGGGTGTGTTAGAGCTAAAGGACACACACAAAGTGTTCTGGTGACTGTGAACTTAAAATGCATTGAAATAAAAAAGGATTTAGTGTTCTCCAACAAAACTATATACCTGGTTGTTTAGAGAAGATACTGACAAGGGAATATGTGATTGAAAGGTTAAATAAGTTATTTACATTTATTTTAAATACTTGCTTGTTTGGCCAAACATTTCCTGGTGGGTGGGTAAGTGGAATCCTGGTGGGGCAGTTTGCACTAAGTAGCATAGTGTATTTAACCGTCTCTAAGCCAGGCCACACATGCTAAATCACATTACTCAAAAAACAATTGTGTGCAGTGATCATCTACAGTTTTCTTGCAGTTCTTCATGTCACTTAACAGAGAAGTGATGACAAAAGACTTAATGTGATTCTGGTTAACACCAGAAGAATCATCTTATGAAGCTTGTGGGAGACTGGGCTGTAGCTGTCAGGTCAGATGTCGTCTATAACAGTGTAACAATGTCACAGTGAAACTTGCCCAAGTTCTCTCACAGCCAAATAAAACACATTTTCATTACCTGTTCGTAGCTCATGTTAGTCTTGGTAACAAGCTCGTCGAGGTCTTGCTCATTGAGGAATTGGTGCTTCAGGTAGTACTCCTTCAGGATCTCCCTCCCGCTCTTGAATTTCTTCAACGGGGGAGATCTGTCAACATCTGCACTGGAGGAAGCAGACCTTCTTGGCTGCTTCCTGGTGCGGGATCGACCCCAACCACGGTTTCGGCTACGTCTTTTTCGCCCACTGCTGTTTCCCATTTTACTGCCCCCTCCGACATTCGCCCCCTCAGTGTTGCCGCTTTGGTACTGAAAGAACCATTTCAGGTTTCCATTTTTCCAGGAATACCGAGAGTCCCCAAACCAGCTGACGATGTAGGACCGAGGAAGGCCGCTCTCTTGTGCCAGCTGATCGTACTCCTCTGGTGTAGGCCACTGGGTACGCACAAAGGCACTTTTGAGAATATGGAGCTGCTCTGGAGACTTTTTACTTTTATCTTTAACGTCTTT